TTGGATTGGATTCTGTTGGATTGGGTTGGTTGGGTTGGGTTAAGTTGAGCTGAGTTGGGTTGGGTTCAATTGGATTGGATTTGGTTGGGTGGGTGGGGGTGGATGGATGGATGGATGGATGGATGGATGGATGGATGGATGGATAGATAGATAGAAGAAAGAAGAGAGAGAAAGGAAGGACGGAAAGATAAAGAAAGGAATAAAAGAAAAGGAAGGAAAGAAAGAGAGAAATAAGGAAGAAAGAAGGAAGGAAGGAAGGAAGGAAGGAAGGAAGGAAGGAAGGAAGGAAAGGAAGGAAAGGAAAGAAAAAGAAAAAGAAAAACAGAGGAGAGGGGGGGGGGGGCCCTGGCCGTGGGGGGGGGGGGTGTGAAAGGAAGGGCCTTCCTTCCATCTCTCCAGCTTGGTCGGGAGGGGCTGTGCCACATCTGGAGGGAAAGAGCTGAGTTAATAAAAGGTCTGAGAGAGAAGTCACGGGTTCGAATGGCGGGGTTTTGGCCAGGAGGTTTTTCTCTGCCTTCTTTCCTCCGCTCTGAGAACTGACCCCCTTCTCTCTTTTCTCTCTCTACCCCCCTCCTAGGAAAGCCCCTGCAGATCAAGCCCAGGCTGTGAAGCCGCCTCCTGCCAACACCGAAGTCTGCCCGGCCACCTCACTCACTCGCTCTTTCTCAGGGATCGGATGTCCTCCCCCCCGGCAACTACCTCAGAGCAATGCCAGGCTGAAGCAGGGGGATCCCAGCCAGGACCTTTCTTCCCCCCACCCCCCACCCCCTCTTCAGCGAGGAGTGACACCCCGGCACCAAGATCTCTCTGTCTCCAGCATCCCAAAGACCAACTCTGTGGTTTTTACAATTATTGCGAGAAAGGAACGCTCCACTTTCCCTCTTTCTCCTAATCCAGCTGCCAAGGCCGCATTTCGGTTCCTTCTGCTGGATAGGACTGGTGAGAGACTTTCAAGAGACCCTCACTCAGTTCTGAGGGCCCCCCCTTCCCCAGGTAAGCAACCCCCAACCCACCTGTCCTGTGGGTGCCTCCCCCTCGGCTGCCCTGGCCGGTCAGCTCTTCCTGCCCTTTGCTTTCCTTTCTGCACCGGTGGTTGGGTGTTTTCAGTAGCACAACCCAAATTGGGGGGGGGAAACGGGGGATCATTGTGGGTGTAGCATCCCAGAGACTTTGTGTTGGACAAACGGGGGCACCAAGCCGACCCTTTGGGCCGAAAGAAACAAGATTTTGCAGAAACACAAACCTGATTTTTCTTTTTCTCTCTGTCTCTTTCTGCTCTGGGGGAAAAATACAATCTGGAGGGTTTACAATCTCTCTTCTTTGCAAGCTTTCTCTAACAGTTTGTGCCCAGCTTTTGAACTCCCAGCAATTTGTAAAGTAGATCTGTCTGGAATGCTTTTAATACACACAAATGCAAGCAAAATGTTTATGGTGAATTTCTTACTTGTTATTCAGGTCCTCCCTGTGAAGGGAAGCCTGTCACGGTTCACTGAATTTTTACTCCTTAACTTGCTGCCGGAAACTTTCAGCCTCCCACTCTCGTCCTGTTCCCAGGGATGAGCCAGTTGGGTGCAAAATTATAAGGCCTTGGTAAGGCCGCACTTGGAATCCTGCATCCAATTTTGGTCACAGCGATATAAAAGAAGAGCGCAAAGAACAGTGCAGAGAAGAGCAACAAAAATTAGGGGACCGGAGGCTAAAACATACAAAGAACGGTTGCAGGAATTGGACGTCTAGTCTAGGGATGATATGATATCAGGCTTCTAATAGTTGAGAGGCTGCCCCAAAGAAGAGGGGGGGCGGGTCAACCTATTCTCCAAAGCACCTGAAGGCAGGACAAGAAGCAACGGATGGAGACTTATTAAGGAGAGAAGCAACCTAAAACGGTGAGTGGAATTGGGTCTGTCTAGTTTAATGAAAAGAAGGAGTAGGGGTGACATGATAGCAGTCTTCCAATATTTGAGGGGCTGCCACAAAAAAGAGGGGGGGGTCCACTTACTCTCCAAAGCACCTTGAGGGCAGGACAAGAAGTTTCAGATGGAAACTTATCAAAGAGAGAATCAACCTAGAACAAAGGAGAAATTTCCTGACAGTGAGAACAATTAACCTTGTTCTATAAAGCTTGCCACAAGCAGAACTTGTGGGTGCTCCATCACTGGGGGCTTTTCAAAAGAGATTGGAGCATCATTTGTCTGAAATGGTATAAGGTCTTTTGCTCGAGCAGGGGGTTTATTTATTTATTTTATTTATTTTATTAAATTTTTATACCGCCCTTCTCCCGAAGGACTCAAGGCGGTTTACAGCCAAAAATAAAACCCACAACTATATGAGAGTTAAAAGACAATTTAAGAATATTAAATAATTTGGCCAAAGAGCTAAAATAGAAACCACCCATTCAAATTAAATTTAAATTAAATTAAATTAAATTAAAAGCACCCTGTTATTAAGACCAGCTGCCTGCAATTACTGCAGGTTCAAATCTCGCCAGGTTGGCGAGTCAAGGTTGACTCAGCCTTCCATCCTTTCTAAGGTAGGTAAATTGAGGACCCAGATTGTGGGGGCAATAAGCTGACTTTGTATAAAATATACAAAAGGATGAAGGCGATTGCTTAACGCATTGTAAGCCGCCCTGAGTCTCCGGAGAAGGGCGGCATATAAATCAAATTAAAAAAAAAAGCATTTAGGGTTGGACTAGAAGACCTCCAAGGTCCCTTCCAACTCACCTATTCTTGCTACTCGGGAGCAATCCCAGGTTCTACAAGCAATACTCTCAAGGCAAAGGAATTGGACAAATCTGATTGGGCAGAGGAAGGGCGCGCTCGCCCTTCCCCACCAATCAGGGCTACGCAGGAAGCCATGCCTTGTCTTTTGATCTCGGGTGGATAACTGAAATTTATCGTTCTCACCTGACATCCTCCGATGAGATGGGTTGCGTTACTCTGGCAGGGGATGATTGGAGTTCTGGAGCATGAGATGGAACAAGCTGAGCTAGGTCAAAGGTCAGCATTGTTCTCTTCCCCCCCCCCCCCCCCCAGCCTTTTCGGCAGTCTTTTCATTGAAATAAAATTCTGCTCCTTCCCTGCGCTTCCTTCCACCGTCTTCTGTACGCCAGGAAAACGTGGAAGTGTTTTTTTGTCTGGTTCCATTTTTCAAAGATTAGCAGCAGATAAATTGGGATATTAGCCAGCAGGGCCCTGCAACCACAGGGGTCAGCCCTGTCCTGTTTTTTTCTTGTGCTCTGAACATCTCTCAGGATTTGAGTTGCCGCCCCCCTGCCCCCCACCGAATGCGCAGCTGAATTTCTTCCCCAAGAATTGGCAGCGAGGGGCATCGGCTCTGCAAACGGCAATAGGTGAAAGAGAGCAGCAAGGTCAAAAGTCAGAGTTTTGAGCCCGTTTTCCCTGTCTTGAAACTTCCTGAAAAGGGGGGGGGGGCAGGAGGAAAGAGGGGCCACACCATAATACATTGGGATAAGATGTTAAGCTGTTGGCTCTTATTTGTCTGGTGGTGGGGAGGTAATTTCTGGTCTCCAAGGATGACTGATTAAAGAACATCCTGCCCCTAAATTGATAAGAAATTCTACAGGTCCAAAAAAAAAAAAATAGCTAGGAGTTAGGAAATAGTTGAAGGCACTCTAGTGCAGGGGTCTCCAACCTTGGCAACTTTTAAGACTTGTGGACTTCCACGCAACTTGTGGAGTTGAAGTCCACAAGCCTTAAAGTTGCCAAGGTTGGAGACCCCTGTTTTAGTGTCTGCCTCTGTAAGCGCCCGGTTCACTTGGGAAAATTCTTCTCAGAGACACTGAAAAAGAAAAGGAAAGAAAAACAAAAGGATCCACAAAGCTAGCTTAGAAGTGTATGGCTGCCTCTCTTCAAACATAATAAGACCCAACAGTGAGGTCTTATGTTGCTCTCTGATCTTGGCTTTTTTCTTGGAGACATCTGATGACCCAGCTATGTAATATCATCAGTGATAGGGGGGGGAGCGTGTGGAGAGGAAGTGGGAGGGAGGAGGGGAAAAAAGGAGGACAAAGATAAGAGGAGGAGGAGGAGGAGGACTGCAGAGACCTTGGTATTCTCTGAACTTGTTTGGTTTCTTGCCGACGTTTCATTAACCAACTAGGCAGCGTCATCAGTGCTAGAGGAGAATAGGGATTGCGGAGTGGAAGACGAGGAGGACAATGAGGTCCTTGGTGCTCTCTCAGAGCACCTGTTTTCCTGAAGATGTTCCTTGAAGGTGATGCCCAACTAGGTAACATCATCAGTCTTAGAAGAGGGAGAAGCAGAACGAGGCGAAAAAAGGAGGAGGAGGAGAAAAGTGGCATCCTAAGTGCTCTCTGAGCTTGGTGGTTCTCTTCCGGACCTTTTATTACTCAACTAAGTAACATCATCAGTGCTAGGAGGAGGTTTGGTTTTCAGAGAGGAAGAGGAGGAGGAGGACTGTAGGGGTCCTCATTCTCACCCCCCAGAAGGTCACATCCCGAGTGGCCTTCGCTCGGTGAGGCAAAGGATGCCTTCGTGCGGGCGGAGGGCAGCATTCCCCCCCCCATCCTCCTCCTCTCTTTGGATGGAGGCCCCCTGCCCCACTGACATGGCTGGGGCCGCCCCATCCTTTCCCTGCCGTCAGCAGCAAAAGGCCGACTCCTCACCCCCACCCCGGTGATTCAGCTCTGCTCATCCCCACCGAGCAGCGGAGCTAATAAAAGATTGATTGGGAAGAGAGGCACAATCTGCCACGCTCGGCACTTCCGTGCCCGGCTTCCCCCCTCGTCCAGGGGATGGAGGGTTGCAGCGAGAGGGCGATTAGCAGCTCCCCCCCTCCCCTTTGATTGGGCTGCCTTTATGTCTCCCTCTCCGTTGCTTTATCTCCGTGATTTAAGGTCCTGTCTGTCGGCATTCCCGATAGAGCTGAGCAGTGCTGGCCGGGCAAAGATTCTCTCCTTCTCCTTCTCCTTCTCCTTCTCCTTCTCCTTCTCCTTCTCCTCCTCCTCCTCCTCCTTTTCCTTTTCCTTCTCCTTCCTTTCTTCCTTCTTCTTCTTCCAAACTTGCTTTGTGCAAAGAGGAACAAGAAGAGAAGCAGGGCGGATTCAGAGAGGCCACCCCACCAACTCAGATTAACAGAGTTGGAAGGGACCTTATAGGTCATCTAGTCCCACCCTAACCCTAACCCTAGCTTGACTCCCTCCTCAAATATTGGAAGGCTGCTATCGTGTCTCCCCTGGTCCTTCTCTTCACTAGACCAGCCATGCCCAGTTCCTGCAACCGTTCATCGTATGTTTTAGCCTCCAGTCCCCTCATCATCCTGGTTGCTCTTCTCTGCACTCTTTCTAGAGTCTCCACATCTTTTTTATAGTGTGGTGACCAAAACTGGATGCAGTATTCTAGGTGTGGCCTTACTAAGGCTTTATAGAGTGGTAGTAGTACCTCACCTGATCTTGATTGCATCCCTCTGTTGATGCAGTTTAGGATTGCATTGGCTTTTTTGGCTGCCACTGCACATGTCTGGCTCCTATTTACCTGGTTGCCACTAAGACTCCCAGATCCCTCTCACAGTCACTGCTATTAAGCCTGATTTTCCCCAGTTTATATGTGTACTTTGGGTTTTTCTCACCTAAGTGTAGGGCTTTACTTTTCTCTACATTGAACTTCATTTTGTTAGTTAGGGCCCTGGGTTCACATCTGTCAAGATCCATCTGGATCCTTAGTCTACCTTCTAGGGTGTTGCCTATTCCTGCCAGCTTAGTATTGTCAGCATTATCCGGGTGGGCGATTGGCACCTTGTCCTTGATTTTCCAGGAATGCAACCTGGCTAAATGGGGAGGGGGGGATTGCCCTCTGCAGATAAGAGCGTGGTGGCCTCATCTAACCCAGCGTTCAGTTCCAGGAACTGACTTCCAGTTGCTTCTTAACTGGGGTCAACTGGTGACGCAGCTTGAGGCTATGGCATCCAATTCAGGATTTTGCCATCGCAATTGACATTTTGGGGTCCCTGGTGCTCTCCGAGCTGGGTGGTTTTCTTGCAGACGTTTCATGGCCCAACTAGGGAACGTCATCGGTGCTAGAAGGGAGGGGTGTGTGTGGAAAGGAGGAGGAAGAAGAAAAGGAGGACAAGAAGAAGAGGAGGAGGACTGTGGGGTCCCTGATGCTCTCTGAGCTTGCTTGTTTTTTGCAAACATTTCAAGACCCAACTAGGTAACATCATCAGTGCTGAAAGGGAGTGGGGTTTGTTTATATAGACATGGCTTGTTCTGCCAGTGTTAGTGGGATTTTCTTGGTGCTTCCTTGATTAGGCTGTTGTTTCCTGGTTGGTTGGTTGGTTGCTTGTCTGACTTGGTGGTCTGTGTCCCTTAACCAAAACCCCCAGAGAAACAAAGATTAACTTCCAAGATGAATAGTAGACCAACCACCAAGTCATAAATGGCAC